TCCTCAGATTGCTTTGCGGATTTCTTTCACAAGCACAGATGATGATTCTTTCGTCCATGTGCTGGACCATCCCATCCCTAATTATGCTTTCTACAAGTTTTTGTGGGAGAGAGGTTAAGCCAATGAGCTTTTAGTTTTTCTGGGATTTTTTCCTACAAGAGAAAATCTCGTTCTGGACAAATAATAAAGATGCTGAGCATCAGCTGCTTAACCCCATGGACAAATGGTACCCTGTATTAGAGAAAATGAACATAGACAAATTTGACTGGGAACAAATAAGGAAACCAAAATATGAAGGGCTACTGTTTGGTTGACGGTGCAATCTATTGATAACAGGGACAGACAAGTGGCTGCATCCACTAAACTAATTAAGAATGTATGTGGCCTTGGAGATTATTTTACCTCTCAGCACTGATTTTATCGCATCCCAGCATATATTCGGGGATATGTTGCTTTTATCATTTTCTGTAAAATAAAATTAAAAAAAAAATCTTAGACAGAAGGTGGGAGGAGTGTTGGAAAGAGATCTTGTAAAGGATGCAAAGGTACAATGTATATTTTAATCAGATAGATTAGAGCAGAGGGGAACAGCTTGAAGGCAGAAAATTTGCATCTATAGTAAAATAAAAATCCCATGACCCTCTTCAGTCCTGGAGGGGATTTCCATTGTTCTGAATTTATGAATTAACTCGAGTTCAGCAATCTTGTGTTAGTGATTTCCATTTGACTGTATGAGGTGCTGTAATGGAAAGAAAATTGATTTGCACCGCTGTATCCCTAACTGTTTTGTTTGCTTGATTTGGGGGGAAAAAAGAAAAAAAAAAGGCTTTTAAGTTTTCACTCATTCCCCATTTGCCACCTTCTAATCTCCTGACAGATTACGTGTAATGGCACTGCACCATTTATTTTTGATTTTCTCTTAGGCAACTCTAAGCCAGATACAGTTATATGGTATTATCTAGCTGGTCCATCACTTCTTCAATCTTCTGTCCCCTCTCTGTGTTGAAACACTTTCTTGTTCATTACCTGAAAAAGACCTCGGGGCCTCAGCTTCATAGCATTTTTCTTGCTTTCTCTGACTGTTCTCTTTAAGCTGATGTCCCTCCTTGCGTTCTCTAACTAGCTTTCTCATTCAAGGAAAGAAGCAATCTGTTCTACATCTACCGCGAAAGGGTAGTTCTTGATCATCAGTCTGAAACAGACCCCGGTTGTTGCTCCAAACCAAGACATTTTCCAGATACACACACACACACACACACACACACACACACCCTTGAATGATTTCAAAGCTCCATTTTGATGAGCAGGTTCATAGACCTTACAGATGCCATGATCTAAAAAGGAAAACGTAAGAGATGCTGAGAACTGAGTGGGTGGTAATTTGCCAGATCTTTAGAAAAGAGAAAGGGTAAGAAGAGGTATTCACTAGTAAAGAGGTGGAGATTCTCAGAACACAAACTCCAGGCATCTATTTATGGGACATCATGTCTCATGCCCTATCCTCATGTTCCCCCCCAAAAAAGTTTTCTCTCAAAACACCAGATTCTTCCAACCTATCTGGTATAGAAACCCAGCCAACAAAAGAAACTCTAGGGCAACCCAGTTCAAGATTACAAGTGGCTGGGGCTTCCGGTTTATGGCGACACCCAGGCAGACACACCTCCCGGATGTCCCAGGGATGTAAACTGCACACCAGCATGTGGGAGGGGGTCCGCTGGATCGCGACCAATGTTCCCTCTAAGCTGTGGAGTCCTGTGAGCAAAAATTCTACTTTGTGAGCGACTGGCATGAAAGTTGTGAGCGAGTGATTTGGCTACTGCATAAGTTAGTTTGCTCTGGAGCCCTCCTTCCTGAGCTAAGACAAAAATGTGTGAGCTGGAGGCTAAAAAACTGTGAGCTAGCTCACACTAACTCAGCTTAAAGGGAACACTGATCGCGACCCCCCAGAGCCTTGGTAAAAGACTCCCAGCCAGAGGGCTTTTGAGGGGCGACCTCTTCGATGGCCAAAAGCCAGAGAATTGAGGCGCCCCTCTGCCCTGAAGGTCCTGATGCTGAGTGACCGCATGGTACAAGTGCTGCTGACTGGGACAAGCGTTGGAGATCGGGCGAAATAAATGGTGATGAGCGAGGCCAAATGGCCAACAATGAACGGTGAGTCGGGTGAAGCGAGCATGAAGATATAAAAAGAAGCTGCCCCCTCTAAAAAGAGCAACGGGAAAGCAAGTGGGGGAGAGGCCCCTCCCAAATGCACAGACGATCGCGGAAGGAAAGGGGGGGGAGCGGAAAAATAAGCGTTTAAAACTGTTTTGAGAGACTTACCAGAGCGCAGAAAAGCATTCGGGCAAACATCAGAGACTTTAGCAACTTCTTTGAAAAGTAAACAAATCCAAAAAGATGGCGGGGGAAAAACCGGAGAAAGAGAAGCTGTTGAAATCGAAACCTGGGGGCAGTCCTCGAACAGAGGAAGTCTCTGAGCTCACAATACTTTTAGCTGACTCCCTGCGCCCTCTGCTGGATGAGATCTCTGGCCTTTTTTTAAATTAACTAATGCTGTGTCATAGAAAGAGAACACGTATAAGATGTTTTATAGATGGTATATTACACCAGATAGATTAGCTAAACAAAATGTTAATTGCTCTGATAAATGCTGGAAATGTAAAAATAAGACTGGTTCTTTTTATCACATGTGGTGGTTATATGATGTTACAAAGAGGTACTGGAGATGGATTCATGAGATAATGGAAAAAAGAATAATATCCCGTTTACTCCAGAGATACTGTTATTGAATATATTTCCGAAAGACTTTGATAAAGCAGATAGGTATTTGATAGTTCATATGTCGACAGCTACAAGGATAGTATATGCCAAATATTGGAAAATAATTGAAATACCAACAAAACAAGAGTATGTGAACAAGCTATTTGAAACAGCGGAAAATGACAAACTGACACTTGAGATGAGAGCCGGTACAGAATGGACCTTTCAAAAAACTTGGAAGAGATTCTATGATTGGTATAATGTAAATGTAATTGATGGATAAATGTAGTAATTTGAGAATGCAGAAAAGATAAGCTCAGTAAAATAGATAATGAATTTAGAAATTTAATAAGCAGAAGAAGTGAGAAATGTCTCTTACTATGTGTTATGTGTTGTTGGAGGTAGTTATGTGTTGTTTGTATGTATGTCTGTAGTATATAAGGAAAAATAATAATAAAAGTGTACCCTCGGGTACATAAAAAAAAAGAGAGAGATCTCTGGCATTAAACAACTGTCAACAATTGGACAGAGTCTAGCAGATCAGCAGATACAGTTGACTAAATCCTTGAAAGCAACAGAGCAAATTGGAGAGAAGGTGAAGGAAATGGACGCCACGACTAAAAAGGTTAAGAAAAAGGTGCAAAATCTGGAAATGAAGCAAGCTACGGAAGAGTCAAAGCTTTTACAACTACAAATGGATAAAGCAAACTTGGTCCTGCAGTTCCAAGGGGATAATCTGAAGCAACAGCTGAGTGAAGCATTAGCCCCAATGACAGATTTAACAGCGAAATACCTTTGCAGCGAGATGGATGTGATCTACAGGTCTTATTCATCATACATCAAGAAAAATAATCTGCCTGGGGAGATAGTGGTCAGATTCTCAAAGAGACATGTGAGAGACACTATTTTAAAAACAACCTCGGGAACACCCTTGAAAATTGGGGACAACAACATTAGGATCTTAAAAGATATTCCATTTGATATAAGACAGAAGAGAAAGAACTATAAAGAACTAATCCTTTTCTTACAAACAAATGGCATTAATTACAGGTGGTTAACCCCAGAAGGTGTCACTTTCAAGCTCAACGATAAAAAAGAGAAGATTGACTCTGTTTTTAAAGCACGCGAATTTTTGCTGATACAACTTAGGGAACCAGAAGTGGGTAAAGAGGAGGAAGAAGAAAGCAAATCAGATGACGAGTTGGGCTCGGGGTCTTCAGACGAGGACTCCCCCTCCGAAAAGGGGGCAGCTGCCCCCAAAAGCCCATATCAACTGAGGATTAGAAAAGATAAAAATAAATAAAGGCTGAAGGACTCTGATTTGTGCCTGGAAAAAAATATTGAAATAACTTGGGGATGCTCTGGGAATTTCTTTAAACAGTTAAAGGGATGGTTAAACGATAATTAATTTAACACAATCGACTAAGTTCATTGTATTTTTAGTAGCTTTCTTCTTTTTAAAAATAGTATGGAGTTAAGCTGATGTATGATCTCCTACTCTTGGGTTTTTAGTTAGTTGTGGGTCTGTTTTCTTTCTCCCTCTAGATGTAGTACCCTTCCCCATATTTTCTGTTGTAGTTTTGTAGTCTTAAAAAAAATCAATAAAAACCTCCCCCCAGGGGGATGCAAAAAAAAAAAAGAGATTACAAGTGGCTATCTTGATGAACATTATTTCTCTCCAGCCCCATCATGCACAGAGATGTTCATACATAAAGCTAGAAAGAGCCTGGGTATTCCATTCATAATACAAATGCTATCTCTGGTGGTTGCGCTACTTCTGTTACCTTTTCTGCTTTTCTCTGAACGACCCAGGGTAATTCGTTCATATAGGTCAGTTCCCAATGAAAAGGCATTATCGACGCATCTTTCCATAATTGGGATACCAGCAAAGCAGTCTAGATTGAAGAGGAAAAGAGTGGGTTGGGGTGACTGGGCAATTTTCTTTTTCTTTTTTTTTGTAACAATAAATTTATTTATAACTTTTGCAAAATTACAGCAATTCCAAAACATCATATATATTCAACATTACAGGAAACATGCAAGAAGATAATATAAACATATCAACAAAGAGCTAAAGAAAATTGAACCAAAGGTAAATGAGCATCAATGATCAATTTGTAAGTATTGAGATATGATAATGATTGTGTAGTTGCGATAACTGAGTCTATTTGCCGACGATCTCACTTTATTTTTAACTAACCCAGAAGACTCATTGCCTGAATTACACGCCTTGTTGGAAAACTTTGGTAAAGTTGCAGGTCTTAGAATAAATACTTCGAAATCAACCTTGTATCTTATAATCCTAACGCAAACTGACAACCAATTTATCAAACAAAACTACAATTTTAGCTGAGTCACCAAATGTTGGAAATATCTAGGAATCTCCATTCCACTCCATTTATCAGACTTACTTAAATGTAACTACACAACACTAGCAAAAACAATTGAGGATCTCCCTAAGTCTTCCACATCACCGTTATTATCTTGGATTGAAAAAGTACAAGTCATCAAAACCTTTATATTCCCAAAATTCTTATATTTATTTAGAGCCCTCCCAATTTCCATTCCACGCTCACTACTGAAAGTTTGGCAAAATGGTATACTAAAATATATATGGAATAAGTCTTTACATAGGGTCAGTTTTGCAACGCTACGACGACACCCATCAAAAGGAGGACTCTTCTTACCTGATCTATCATTATATTACGAAACCTCAACATTTATAGGCATTTTCAAACAATATAGTATAAACTATCAAGCTCAATGGAAAACAGTGGAACAATCCTACCTTAACTCTAAAACATTTCAGGAAATTCCATTTTCCCAAACGGAGACCAAAAATTGCACAAGACAAAATTTTTCTTTTGAATTCCCTAAAAATCTGGGATAAATGGAAATCAATTCTACTTCCCTTCCCTTCTATACTTACCGTATTCATTGGCCAATCTTGGTTCATCCCGGGACGATCCAGTAATTCGTTCAAAACCTGGAGAAACAATAATATATTATGTTTTAATGATATCAGCAATAAAAAAGCTAGAAATAGAATCCAAATTCAAAGGCAAAATTAATTGGATGGAATATTTACAGGTTAAAACATTATGGCAAACCACTTTTAGAGGCAATAACTTATATTTATTTAGAGCCCTCCCAATTTCCATTCCACGCTCACTACTGAAAGTTTGGCAAAATGGTATACTAAAATATATATGGAATAAGTCTTTACATAGGGTCAGTTTTGCAACGCTACGACGACACCCATCAAAAGGAGGACTCTTCTTACCTGATCTATCATTATATTACGAAACTTCAACATTTATAGGCATTTTCAAACAATATAGTATAAACTATCAAGCTCAATGGAAAACAGTGGAACAATCCTACCTTAACTCTAAAACATTTCAGGAAATTCCATTTTCCCAAACGGAGACCAAAAATTGCACAAGACAACATTTTTCTTTTGAATTCCCTAAAAATCTGGGATAAATGGAAATCAATTCTACTTCCCTTCCCTTCTATACTTACCGTATTCATTGGCCAATCTTGGTTCATCCCGGGACGATCCAGTAATTCGTTCAAAACCTGGAGAAACAATAATATATTATGTTTTAATGATATCAGCAATAAAAAAGCTAGAAATAGAATCCAAATTCAAAGGCAAAATTAATTAGATGGAATATTTACAGGTTAAAACATTATGGCAAACCACTTTTAGAGGCAATAGCTTCCAACCACCAACTTTCGTTGAAAAAATTCTATCATCAAATATAACTTCATGCACGGGAATGATCTCTTCACTCTACAAGACATTATTACTCTATCATTCCAATGTTCCAACTACATACCAGAAAGCTTGGAATACAGACTGCTCTGTTCCAATTGATGATACTACCTGGTCCAAAATATGGACATCCAAAGCATTGAATATTAAGGCTCAGGCTCTAAAAATCTTATTACGATGGTACCATACACCATCTAAGCTCCATCAGATTAATAAATCCTACTCGCCAATCTGTTGGCGATCATGCAATGAAATCGCTACATATTACCACTGTTGGTGGACATGCAAGACAATCAGGAATTATTGGTCTACAAACAATAAAGAAAATAACCAATATAACTCTGCCCCTTTCGCCAACTCTAATATTCTTAGACTCATGGGATGATTTTGAAATTCCTAACATCTACAAGGATCTCATTTCCTCAATGTTAATGGCTGCTAAAACCATAATCGCTAGGAATTGGGAAAAAACTAATTCATTAACTTTGCATCAGTGGTACATACAATTATGGGAACTCTACACTATGTAGAAAATAGCTTTATCATCACCTCCATCCAACACTTATAAAGCACACTCTTTGTTCTATGCCAAGTGGTTGCCATTTATTGAAGCCACATTTCATGACAATGTAGTTCCGACAAATACCGTTCCTAAGAAATATATTGAGATCATTTCTTTTTCACATTCTCATCCTAATGTTTCTTTCACTGAGCTGAAAGCAGTATAGACCCTGGCTGCTCATGCAGGCTAAAAATCTCCCCATTGTTCCTGAAGTATAAAACAGAGGGGAATTTCACATTACCCTTTTAAAGCCAATTTTAAGCCGTTATTGATCCGTCTTGGAGTAAACCGGTACAGGGCTGCCATTTCATACAAGCCTTTCCCCTACCAGTAAAGAGCTGTCTCTGAAGTGATTTGGCATTTCAGAGTGCACCGCTTTTTTTCCACCCTTTTTCGCCCATGCGGGCAATCTCTGTTTGTTTTTTTTAACGTTCGTTTTAGAGCGCTAGTGTGCTATAACACAATACCAAAATAGCACTATAGCAACCCCATTGGAATGCCTGGACTCCACTGGGATATATGAGATGGCTACATCTGCCACCTGGAAACAAGTACCCCACTGGATACAGGCTTCAAGCGGGAGATCAGGGCATCACTGATTGGTGAGACAGATGTTGCTAACCCAGCCTGATGTGCACCCATCCATGCCAAGAGGCGATTGGCTGGGAAGTGACTGGCACAGAGCTGGGTCAGGTATAAAGGGCAGGGAGGCAAGGCCCTTATCTTTGTGGGTTGAAGTTGGTGAGTGGTAGGCTTGTCTCGTTACAGTGGTTTTGTGTGACTGTGTGAGAGGCTACTGATCTTTTAGTCATGGTCTCCATAACTACCTTGTTGCAACCCATCACCTTCCCCTGACTCATCTTTGGGCATGGAAGGGTTAGGAACATCTATCTCACCAATCACTGATGCCCTGATCTCCCGCTTGAAGGCTGTATTCAATGGGGTACTTGTTTCCAGGTGGCAGATGTTGCCATCTCATGTAACCCATTGGAGTCCAGGCATTCCAATTGGGTTGCTGTAGTGCTGTTTTGGGGTTGCATTATAGTGCTGTAGCGCTCTAAAACGAATATAAAAAAAAAGACGGAGATTGCCCGTGCGGGCAAAAAAGGGCGGGAAATTGCACTTCAGAAACGGTACAAGAAATTGAAGACCGCTTGGAAGCGGTTTACAGGTAAAACGCTTCAGCCACGTTTCCTGAACGGGACAGAAGCGTTTCTGTCTGAAAGTGAAAATATATTCCAGTAGGGAACCGTTACTAAAACAGTTCTGTCTGAAATGACAGACCAGAAACCGTTAGGGAACTGTTCCTGTACCGGAATATATGGGCTGTCTGAAATTCCCCAGAAACATTCAAAGTGCTTTTAAGGACTAAGTTTCCCCATCAAAGGCTAGTGGCCTGACTTTCTGCTACCTTCACTATATTGACTAAAGAAAAACATATGAATTAGCTGACTGGATCAAGTCAAGGTCATATCGTACTGCATTTGGCCTCCAGTTCTAGATAGACACCTGTCCTTGGGAAACATAGGGCTGGAAGGTAAAAATGTTCCACCATGTGTGTACATGGAAGTTTCATTTAGCTGGCATGGTTAATAGCTACAGGTAAAGCTATCAGCCATGGATCTCTCTAATCTACTTTCTGGGCAGATTGCCCCATATAAGTGGCCAGCTCCCTCCAGTGCCAGCAGTGCCACTTCCATGACAGCATAGCTGACACAGCCACCCACTTTACACAGTGTATGTCAAATCCATGTCAGAAGTTGCTTCATGCATTAGGTCATACAGCAGCTGCTTGAGCCAGCTTCCCTTTGGCCCTCACGGAGACATTCAAGGCAGCTGACCAATAAAGCCATAAAATATCAGGAAAACAAAACTATGAAGCACCATTTATCAATCATACACAGCATCAAATAAAACAGCACTGGCAAGCTTTCTAATAATTTGCTGGAGAGGTTGTTCCATACTTGTGGGGCTGCCATGGAAAAGGCCCTATCTTGTATACCACCACCAGACGAGTCTCTTTGATTTGTGGAACAATTGGGAGGGCCTCTCCCTGCAATTGTAATTCTTAGGCAAAAACATATGGGAGAAGATGGTCCTTCAGACACCTGGGTCCCAAGCCATGAAGGACTTTTAAAGGACAAAAACAACACCTTGAATGGGGCTCTGGAGCAGATCGGTAGCCAGTGCAATAGCTGTACTATTGGGGTCAAATGCTCCCAATAGCTGTCCCTGATCAGCAGTCTAGCTGCAGCACCTGCACTACCTCCAGCTTCCAAACACTATTAAAGGGTAGCCCCAAGTAGTCTAGTCTAGATGTAACAAAGGCATGGATCACTGTGGCTAGATCTGACTGAACCAGAAACAGGTGCACCTGACCCACCAGCCAAAGCTGGGCACATGCACCCCGAACCACAGCAGCCACTTCATTTTCTAAGGTGACTGCTGTGTCAAGCAGCACTCCTGAGCTTTTATGACATTTTATTTATAAGCTACCTCAAGCCAGTCACTTGGAGAGATGACATAGAAATATTCTAAATAAATAATAATAAATCCATTTGCTTTCTCAAAGATCATGCCCAGTCTTAAATCCCTGGGCTCAGTTTATCCGCTTTTTTGTGATTAAGCACAGCTCATTAACTCACCTATAAGGCGAAAGATTTATGCGATCTGAAGAGAAACCAGAGTACATTCAAACCCTTACAGGATATGACTTACCATACGATCCAAAGGTGATCTTGTTGCACCTTTGGCCTGATGACGGTCCGCCTGAAAACAGGAGACAGTTGATTAATATTTTAGTAATTGCCGCAAAGATCTCCCTGGCAAGTAAATGGAAAACAGACTCCCTCCTGACCATGCAGCAATGGCTACATAAAGTGTGGGATTTCTTTCTTCAGGAGAAAGCATCTATATGGCTAAGTAACTGTCCTGAGGACGGGACGTCTGTATAGGAAAATTGATTCCTAAAGCCTTCATGTATCCCTTGTGATGTTATAGAGTTTCATGTTCCCCCCCTTTGGAATGTACCCCCTGTTGGTTTGATTTCCTCTCGAAGCTAGATGGCGACCATTTGATTGAATTGCCCCCCATAAACCACATACCTCTGCCAGAGCATGGCAGAAGAGCACGTAGGCAAAGGAGGGAGGGGCTCTGGTATCATCTTACTGCAGGAGGATGATCTCAAGACCCAACCTTTCCCCACCCATTCACCATAGTACCTGTCTCATTGTGATTGGCTACTGGCCATAGCTGGTCATAATGAGATTGCGGTTTAATTGCCTGATCCCCTGGAGAGGAGCTCACTTTTTTTGGCTCTCTCTCTCTGTTCCTGGAGATAACCTGACATGCTGTCTGCCATGGGGTGAGACAGACAAAGGATTCATTTGGTGAGCTGACCACATGGCTCCATGCTTGCACAAAGATGAGACCTAGTTGGACTTTGTTACAATGGACTGTCTTGGACTATGGATCACCCTGGTAACTATGTAGATCTTTAATGTTTAGTGAGGGCCAAGGGCCATAAGCTTATTATTTTCTAATCTTTTCTAGTCTGATTGCAAAGTTCTGTGCTAAATAAACTCTATCTGTTTATAACTTGTGTCTGATTGATGTACCTTTGACTCCAAGGCTCTTTCCTAGTGCCTGAAACTGCTAGCCATATTCTGCTACCTTGCGAAGAGTATTCTTGTAATAAGTCCCAGAGGCCAGTAAAGGGTCTGAACCTTGCTCTAGACTGGAAGGGGACAACAGTGAAAGGTTCTGGTGGCATGTGTCTGTAAATCCAGAGAGAGACTACCTCTCCTGGGTTCTTGTGTAATTTCCTTGTTCCAGTACATGATTCTTTCCTTTCCCAATCCTGGACTGGTCTGGGAGAAGAGAGAACCATGACAACGTCTTCCCCCCCACAGGCAGGACAAGCCCCGAGCCCCACGGAGCCGGGACGATAGAGCATGGCTCCCCACCTACTCACCCGGTTGGCTGGAGGGGACGGGGAGGGAGCGCGGGTGGAGGAGCGGGTGGAAGCGCTGGCAGCAGAGCAGCTGCAGCCGAGCGGAGGGATGCACGGGCAGCTTAGCGGCGGCGGCGACGCCCCCAGGCTCCGAAAAGAGAGAGGTGGGGCCGACGAGGCAAGCGACAGCGCAGCAGCTTCGGGGCTGCACCGAATCATCGGGGGCGCGGGACAGCGAGATGGAGACAGGGCTGTCGCGCCGGGCCACAGGCCCGCCACAAGAGCCCACCCCCGCATACAAGCGTGGTGGCCCAGAAGAGAAAGGAGGAAGAGGGACCCCGCCCAGAGGTGCGCATCTCCCATTTTGTATGGGGGCGGGGCCTAGAGAGGAGGAGGGCCCAATGGCAGGCAGGGGACACTGGGAACCGGGAGGGGGGAATATAAGGGATGGAAAGGAGAGGCCAGGGATGACTCCTGGATCAGAGACGCCACAGAGAGAGAGGAAAGCATGATCCAGCAGGGACAGGCGTAGAGGGACGGTGAAGTAACCCCCCTCCCCCGTCCAGGTGTCTGAGGCCGACTTACTCCTTGAGAGGACAGGAGGCAGGGGGGCACCATAGCAGAGCCTGTCGTACTGGGAAGCTCCAGTGACGATGATGGGGCGGGGTCCTCGTCGAGCTCCTGTGACAGTAACAAAGACGCATGAATCGCTTAATTCACCTCCCATGTTAAGCTTCGAGCCAGCCATGGCTCCGACAGTGCTAACAAACCATTGGTCGCTTCGAAACAGCGACCAATCGCTGAAGAGCTTTTCCCTGAGCAGGAAAGACAATGATTCGCCCTTATCTATGCAATCTGATTGGTTGTTATGTAAATAGTAGGAGTGGCTATATTAGCCCAGTATGTTTAAAAGGAGCCCAGCTCCGATGTTTTACTGTTCTGATTCCTAACTGCGTTTATGTGCTTGTTCGTATTAAAGCTGAATCACTTGCTGAAATCACTCTACGAGTTTTTGTTAGCGCGATCTAACATATTATGATGAAGTTCGAAATTTAATAAACAGTTAAAAAAATTAACTCACCTATTAGTGGCACATTTCGGCGGATAAGGGGGCCTTGCACTGGCTGGCCCTTCTCGGTGTTCACCCCCACGTAGGCTGTCTGGGAACACACCACCCCGGAACTCAGGCTCGTCTGCAGAGCCAGGCGCTGCTTTTTTCCATCCTTCACTCCAGTACCTTCCAGATCCTGCAAGAGGGCTCGAGCCGCCAGTCGATGAACAGGGAGCCTGGAAAGAGAGAGGGGAAGAGAAAAGGAGCATCCAAAGCAGTGTATACCAAGTCCATGGCTGAGGAGAAAATGGGACCGCCTCAACTACAGAAGCATTTTCTTCCCATGCCTTTTCAAATTTGGCCTGCAAGTTGGTTGTTGTAACTGGCCTAGCAAGTGAATGAAAGCCACCAGTCACACCTGGCCAGTTTGTACAGAGACTCATTAGCAAGGCTTGTAGTGGTGTCTGTTCCAAATGCAATAATTCTGCACTCTGTCTTAATCCTGAATTTAGAATACACCACTTGGTTGTCTCTAGGGCAATTTAGGAAAGTCACCCCAAACGTGACCAGAATGAGACCTATTGCCTACCCCAGGCCCATCCTCTCAGCCTCAAAGGACACCAAATGGCAGTGCTCTGATACAAAACTCAGCTTTATGAATAAATGAATAAAATGAATTAATGTTCTAGAAGCATTTCCCACTGGAGTAATTATGTCAGAAGCAGTCTGACAATGACATCAAATGTGACTTATCACCTCACAATGAAGTGTTTGGGAAGCATGCCACTCATTAGGGGGGAAAACATTCACATAAGGTATCTGTTTTCAGTGCCCCCCTAAATGACTAACTTATCTGTCAGCAAAATTAGTGTTAAATAAAAAAGTAAAAAACAAACAAATAAACCTGGGGAAAATCCAGAGGGGGGAATAGAAGAACACTTCCCCCCCCAATTACTGAATTTGTGTTTTTTTCTTTCAAACCTTCATATCTGTCTTCCCAATTACATTCCACCACATTGGCCAGTGAGAGGGGACATACACAGGAGAGCATCCTACCTGTCACTCTCCTGAGCTTTAAGGGGAAACTTCATTGTCTCTGTGAAAGTCTGGCCTTGGAAGATGTACTGCAGCACAACAGACCCCTCGGAGGCACCTGAGGACTGCAGAGGATAAGAAATTGGCAGAGCAGAAGAAGAGGAGGAATACATTCTCGGAATATAGATGGCAAAAGAATTAAGGACTCAAAAGGGCTCCCCTGGCCATGGGAGATAGATAGGGATGCATAGACAATCTTTGGGGTCTTGGTGGAGGTTACTTGCCTTATGCTGTCCACGGATCTGGGCATAGATAAGGCTATGCTGCCCTTCGAAGATGACCTGGGGACCGGACCCCACAAGCACGGCCTCAAGATGGGAAGGCAAATCCCATTGAAGAGAGATCCCTGTTGCTGCTGGCTGCAGGGCTTTCTTCAAAGACTGTAGGGCCTGAAGGGGGAAGACAGGCAACAATAGGTCTAAGGTAGACAGCAGGGTTCCTTGGCCAAATAAGAAAGATAAAAATGGTGTTGCATATGTTTTCTGAAGCCAGAACAACTGCTGAAGAAGGCATCCTTATTTTATCCCAAGATGTTTCACAGACTGGCAGCAGGCAATGGACACTAAAACTAGCAAGCTTTAGGTGTAGAAATGGTAGAACACTCTCTTCCAAATCTAGGCTCCCGGATCCTCCTCACCTTGGCCTGCATGCGCTCCTTGCCGGTGATGAATTCGGCACTGCCTCCGGCCACTCGCGCAATGCCTTTGATGAGGGTTGTGGAGGCCCCTTCACCAATGCCAAAGGAGAAGCACCTGTAAGTAAAGGTGCAAAAAAAACCCCCCAAAACAAAACAGGGGGATTAAGAATTTTGTATCCAAAAACAAAATCTGTGTAATACATTATATTTGGTTGCATTACAATCACATAGAACAGTGTGCAAGTTTATGAGTTCTCCAGAACTCATCAGGTTGAATGACAGAAAAAGAAATAAGGGGCAATACTGTGTAATACATTTTATTTGGTTGCATTACAGTCACATAGAACAGTGTGCAAGTTTATAAGTTCTCCAGAACTCATCAGGCTGAATGACAGAAAAAGAAATAAGGGGCAATGGGAGGATTTTTAATTATTTTAAATTTTCTCTACATCAGACATCAAAAGGTTGCACACAGTTCTCTGTGCTTTGGCTTTTCCTAATAAATGGAATTATGTGGTTTTTACTTTTGTTTTTGAATTTTTTTTTGCATACAGCTTATTTTTGAATGATTTTCTTTTTAATAAACTTCCCCCCATTGTTGGGTATTACAACAGCATTAGTTATTCAGTTTGATTTACATTTCCACTGGCTTTGATGGGAAAAACAGTTCCACATATTTCCTCCCCTCCAAATGTGGATAAAATACTCCCTGTCAAACAGCAGACAGATAAGAGTATCCCCATTTTGTGGGCACTAAGTTTCTTCTTTGCAGAGTATGCACAGAGAGGCATAACCACACTGGCTGGGGTGTTTTTTCCTTTGCTCCTGCAGTCTTCAAGCAGGTGATGAAGTGTATCATTTGTTGCAAACAAAACTGCAGTGAGAGGATGAGGGGAATGCAATCTGCCTCCTAACCTTAAATTAATACCCCGGTCCATTTCAGCTTATCTCAGAGTTCAGTGAGCAGAAAAATGCTTCAAACAACACAATGTATCAAGGTAAGTGAGGGAATGTTCAGGGTCTCTCTCTTCTCATATTCACATTCCACTTTGTTTTTTGAATATGACCTCCATTTTACACATAAATGGGTGGACTTGCCCAAACAGGGATCATGCCACTGAATTTTGAGCTTTCTCCTTGTGCGCCTCACTGCCAGGACATGAACCCAGTCCAAATTCTTCATGATGCTTTTAAATAAAATTGAAGATACTGAGAGTAGCATATCAATGGACATCCTCCTAAACTGGGATCTCGAAAGATCCCCCTTTTGTTCTATGCGGATGACACTACAATCCTTTCTTGTACCAGGGTTGGACCTCCCAGATATTTGCATGCTTTTCATAAATTCTGTGCTGATAACTCTTTGGTCATTAATTACTCAAAGTCCAAACTGTTGGTCTTTTCTAAATATTGGAAGCCTGTGGACAGTAGAGAAAACTGAGATTACCCAGGTTAAAAATTTCAAATACTTAGGGATTACGTTTCAATATAAACTTAAATGGTCAACCCATAGATCCCATATTTCTTTAGTTAAACGATCTGTTTCACACTTTAAACAATCCTTTTATTCCACAGGGAATCAATATTTACCGGGCACCATAAAGATGTTTGAAATCAAAATTCTCCCTCAATTATTATATGACATTCCTATTTGGATAAAGAGCTTTCATAGCAATTTTGAAAGACTACAGGCCTGTCTTTTTCGCCAACTTTCAGGCATTTCTAACTGTATTCCATATTTCTCTCTTTGTTTAGAATTCGGCCAACATTTTATAGATGCTAAATGTTGGTTATTAACTTTTAAATATAGGTTGAAACTACACTTCAGATTGCCACCAAATTCTTTAATCTCACATTTTAAAAATGATGCTTATAGCGCAACCTGGTTGGCATATATTGAGAAGAAAATTAGTCAAATCGGCTTCTCCTTAGAATATTTCTATTCATTGGATGAAGTCTCTATTTACCAGATTATCAAACAGAGGCTGCTTGACCTTGAACTTCAAATGTTATGTCCTGCACAATTTTGCATATTTTCTCAGGCTCAGTTGAGTCTCCCAGTTCAACATGGCCAGATGGCCCATTATCTCCACAACTTAGTTCAGCCTCCGCACCGTAGAGCCTTCACATTAGCCCGTCAAAATATTTTCCCTTCAAAAACGCTCTCAGGTCAGTTTAATAAAATCTCCCTATATGAAAGGTTATGTTCTTGTCCTTTAAAATCTGTAGATTCAATTTATCATATTATTTTTGCCAAGCAAGACAATCATTTTCCCTGGGAATTTATGCTAAATCTTCTGTTTGGAGATGCCCCTACCATGTCAACCATCTACTCCCCACATGTTGCCTCTTTCACTGCCAACAGCATTGAAAATAGACAATGAAATACCAAACTGGACACACAGAACTGAAGATTCCCAAATATCCCCAACTGTTTTTAATAGTTTCTTGAGCATTATATGGCAAAGAAATATACCTTGTTTGATTTATGTTAACTTGATCACAGAATGAACATGATTTGGGTGACATTTGACTTCCTATTATATGAGAAATTTGTCATGAGACTAGAGCAGAAAAGGTGATACAAAGAAGGATCCAGAAGAAAAGAGTGTTTGATATCTTGTTCCTAGTTACTACCTGTGGGAATCGCTGTGGTGCTGAACTTCTGCAATGACTTCATTTGTGTTAGATACTTCTCCATCTGTGAACACAAATAGCTGAAAGAGAAAGAGAAGAATGCTGACTGGAGTCAAAACAGTTACTTGTGGAGACCCATTAGCACAAAGGAGACTTTATTCATCCTCTCTGGTCTAGTTGAGCCTCTTAATGAGTTGAGTAATTCCAGCGCCTGAAGTTGTGTGTTATTCCAGTGATTTTTCAAATCGGAGTATGCATGAAAATACTCAAGAAGCTGCCTCTGGAATTTTTTTTAAAGTTCTCTTTTGGCCACATGGCACCAATAACCGGACTTTGGAATGAACATTATGATGCCTAACTTACCCCATTAGCAGCACCACAGCAGAGAGGGTGCTGACTCCAAAGCAGAGAAGCTTCTGATTCTAAAGGCAGTTTGAGGAAATGTCAAGACTGTTGAATGCATGCTTATATGTGGGTAATGGCAAACTTAAATAACAAGGGTAATTGGGACCCTGTGTCTGTCCTGACCTGGATTCCCCAGGTTAGCCTGATCTTGTCAAATCTCAGAAGCTAAGCAAGGTCAGACCTACTTAGTATTTCGATGGGAGACCACCAACAAACACCAGGTCTCTACAAAGAGGCAGGCAATGGCAAACCACCTCTAAACGCCTCATGCCTTGAAAAGGGGTGCCAGTAGGACAGCTGCAACTTGATGGCAAAAGCAAATAAACACACACCAAAACTATCATATCTACTGTACAGAGGGAAATTAGCTCCCAGGGGAGTTCTCCGTACCTGACGAGGATGTCCTTCTCGGCATGGCTGGCTGTAAATGGCCTTCAGTGGTTGCAGAATTTCTGTGCCCCCCAAGTCAGCACCGAGGTTCTTAACTCGCTGGAGAGATTCTGACATGGTCTTCTGGGTGTACTCTACACTTTTCCTGAAGAGGGTATAAGACAATTCCAGAAAGTCAAGGATGTGGATGACCTATTTCTGAAGATTTTTAACCATGCTATCTGCTCCCTGAACTGCCCCAAGCATCTACAAACTGACCCAAACTTTTATTTTATTCTCCAGCATTCTAATCTAGTAAAGATCCTCTTTCACTCAAATTCAAGTCATTAGTAACACGTTACTGACGGCATGCGCAGAGCGTCTGAATAATAATGAATTCAGGATGCTGTATATGAGCTATATACAGTGGCTTTTATTTACAGTTATATACACAGTCCATGCCACCATGCGGTATCCCAGATTCACAGAACTGACCGACAAGGTGCTTCGCAGTATACTCTCCACAGGTGTGGAACACTTGCTTCAGGACTACATTCCATATATACAGTACTTGCACCAATCAGAGTCATTTTGCCAACTCATGGTGACATAGTTAATTGAGCTGATGCAACCTAGTGCAACTTGCATCTGGTGACCCTGTCACATGACAGTCTTGCCTGTCACCCAGATCAGTTTAATCTGACATGTGTGCATCATTGGCTGTCATCTTGCATACATATAATACAATAGGTAACACGTTACTGCCCATAAGGAGGTATTAACTATACAGGACAGAGGAAGGACACTGCTGTCCAGCATAAAACAACAAAGCTGTTGGGCTAGGAATGCAAAAATGGGAACAGGAAGACGAATGGTAACAACACAGGTCAAGAGAGTATCTATAGTCCAAGATGTGCCTTCCAGAAGAAGCAGGTGTGAGGAGAATTAAAAGTTGTGGTTTATGCAGAGCCCCAACGGACTTGTCTTCTCTGTTCTTTCCAGCCACTTTGGTGAACCTTTTCTGTGGTTTTTAACCTTTCCTTTGTCAAAACAATTATTTATAATTTTATTTATTTAAAATATTTCTGCACTGCCTTTCCGCCCAAAAAGGGTCAGTCCACAAGGTGGCAAACACCAGATCATTTCAATATTAAAACATATAAAGTGTTTAAACAATTCAATAAAACAGAAACACTCAAAGCAAGGACTGCAAAGATCACTGGAACGGATGGGTACCGCTACTGTGTTTTGTGTTGACCTTCGTAGATCAAGACTAGCAGTGAACCAGTACCTCCTTTCTTCTTCCTTTCCCTTCGATTCAGAAAGCCAAGACGGAATTAGGAGAAAGAGGAAGAACAGGAAATCAAAGGGGCTGGCAGGCATGCAACATTCTGACACTCACGGGTAAAACGAGTCGTAGGTGGATCCGAAGCCATAGATGTTGAAGAAACATCCCAGAGGGAGGCCCTTCAGGAGGAGAATCAGGGTCTCCTGAGGGAGGGGGAGAGAAAAGCTAGAGTCACCTTAAGTGTCCCTTCTGAATTTGGTTCAGCATCATCTCCATGCTTCCAGAGCCCTTCCTGGCTCCTTGCCTACTTCACTTCCTCCCCTAGACAACCAATTTCCAATATTCTTCTCAGTTTGATTCCACTTCCCTGCACATCCTCCACGTTTAGACAGACTGCTTCCTCGCTTGTTCCCTACTCTGTCTCCTTCCTCAGCCTCCACACCCCCTACCCGCTTTCAGAAGTTGCAGCATTTAATTTGTTCATATGTACCTTGGCGCTCTGAATACGTGGTGGTGCATCAAGAGTGTTGTAATCAGAACAGCAATCCATGCTGCCAGAGCGATCCAGCAGGAAGATGAATTCTCCAGTGGCACTCAGGCCTGGCTTGGGGGCACACTGCCAACTGGGGTACAGGGTAACCAAAAGGACTGGGTCCCCCATCAGGGAGTCTGTTTTGCACAGGAAGAAAGCAGATTCAATAGGCATTTTCACCCAAGTAAGTGCCCACACTCTTCACCAAGTTCTGCCAAGCACCCACACCCAAGCCATATGGATCTCCCAGAATCCCCTGCACTTCAGCCCCCATCCATGGCTTGCCCACCTGACGCAGCTCCCGGCTTCCCAGCCTCGAGGATTGCGCTGGGCTTGTGAACTTCCTCATAATAAATCAGCAGCTCCACATCTCGGTCAAATTGGTGCCCTTCAGCCAAGGAGACCTTTGGGAGAGGAAAAAAACCAAAAAACAGAATGAAGCATTGGAGGCTGAGAAAGATGCTGGCTTTCGCAAGAACCCCGTCATCTACTTTTGTATGTGATTTTTTAAAAAAATGCCACATGGTTAATATATCCCCACAATCTCTGTCTTATCAGAACTACTACTGTACTGTGAAGCAATGCATTATTAAACTCCTATGAGTCAGAAAGTTCTGTCCCGGACAAGGCTGCCCATTGTGCCTCTGCTTGGGTCAGTCAGCCTTCACTAATTCAACTCTCTTTGTCTGGACTGGGTAGAACTTGATCATTGCATTAAAAATACACAAGAAAGCCATCTGTGTGAGGAAGCCCACTTCTGCATATCAGCATGAGTCACTGGGTTTCCCCCTTTTCAGTCAGAAGGCAGGCCCTGATTACAGATTCATGCAGAAACAAAAGGGGGAGAATAGCTGGAGAATGGGTAATGCTTACACCTATAAGAAGGATGTCCAAAAAAAGGATGAGGCATCATATTGGGTTCTGTGGAGCCCCACAAATAACTACTAACACCCCACCACACTCCATAGAGATTTCTGACCCATTTGCAGATTTAGGACACTGTGCTTAGTAAAGCCTTCCAGTGGCTTCCCCTATATGCCGGACAATCAGCTTCTCCATTCTACGATTTAAGTTAGCAGCAGGCATGGGAAAATTAACTTAAAATGCTTTCTTATTTATATAAAGGGGGATGGGGGAGATGCAGGAAATGGTGATAAGTCCCTGGTTGCCTATGTTTTCTGTTCTTAAAGTATGCTCCTGTTTAAAAAGTTATATCCCAGTTACCTACATTCTGTTGTCGATTTGTGCAGCACCACTCAGCTTTGCTATAACTAGGGTTGCCAATCTCCAGCTGGGGGCAGGGGATCCCCTGGTTTGGAGCCCTTCCCCCCACTTCAGGGTTATCAGAAAGGTATAAGGGTATATCCATAGGATATAATCGAGAATTGGTCTGTGGATATCCTGGGCTCTGGGGAGGCTGTATTTTGAGGCAGAAGCACCAAATTTTCAGCACAGCTGCTAGTGCCTCTCCTGAAAAAAAAACCCACAACCCAAGTTTCAGAAAGATTGGACCAGAGGGTTCCAATTCTATGAGCCTCAAAAGGTGGTACCCCCATCCTCCATTATTTCCAATGTATGGAAAGCATTTAAAAGGAATGTGGTCCCTTTAAATGTGATGGCCAGAACTCCCTTCTGGCTTGTTAGCCTCACCTGACAACCCTAGTGACATTCTTGCTCCTGGCTTCCCCCTCCAAAGTCCCCAGATATTTCCTGAGTCGGACCTGGCAACCCTAGCTATAATACTCCTGGCCTAAGCATACAGCAACCATTAGCTCAATGTACTTTGGGTGCACTGTGGCATAATCACGGTGAAGTGTTAGAAAGGATGCATGTGTGTGTGAGGGGGGGGGATATGCCTGTAGATTTGCCCTTCCTATTTAGTCATGATACAGTGCAGGATTATATTCAGTCCACCATAGAGTGGTACACACTTTTTGTCAAACTCATTGGTTCCTACTGTTAAATGGGGGGGGGGGGCCTTGTTATGATTAACAGCCAATCATTAAGCATCCTCTTGTAGTGCCACTATAGCTGTTGTGGCATATGCCTGTGAACTGTGGAGTTGAAATGTAGGTTTTAAGCAGCAACTGTAACAGTTTTGTGGCAAGACTTATATGAATTTTTAGGGCAAGAAATAACCATACTTCAGAAACAACCACTAGCATAAAAGGTAAAGATCTCAGTAGCCTCACCTGGGCAGAAGTACGGTTTTCCACTGTGTAGCGAAGGGGCTCCAGAGTGCATTTTGATTCCACCCGGCTGATGCCATGGGAAGACTCCAGTGTGGCGCAGAGGCTGAGCGTATAGGGAAGCTTTCCCTTTGGGACTCGTGGAATATGTTGGGTGACTGTGTCACTTTCTGACCCTGCAGGGAGATTAACAGGCAAGGCTGCTATTATATAACAGATCAGAAAAACCATGTCTTAATACTAGCAGCAGTTGACACCCTGTATCTGTGGTATCAGAGGTAGGACAAAATTGGTTATTGTCAGTATAGGCACAGTCGGAAAGAATCACATTGCATGAGGACTGGATGAATTCTAGACGAAGTCTCGCTTTTGGCCAAGTCAACAGATGTAACAGGTGTGGAATAGCATCAACAACGGAGACAATGTTTTTGAATTATTTATATTTAAACAGGGATAGATCAGGAGAGTTACCCATGGCCAATCAGGTAAGCCCCCTTTACCCTCGGGAGGGCAGAGTGGCTGATGGGGGGGGGGGCGATTTCAACTGCAGCCAACAGCTTGGTCAGCCATTTCTTTCCCACTGATCCTTGGGTGCTGTTGGCTTGCTGGGGGAAAGCCTTGGATTCCTTTTGAAGGCCTTGGGCTTTGGACTTCTATGCTGGACCCTCACCTGGACTACAGACTGGTTTGATTCATTTTGATTACTATTAACATCTAGCTTTTTATTACATGTTACATCTAGCTTTTTATTACATGTTTCCTGCCATTCTTCCTCCATAGAGAAGAATGCAGAGAAGGATGGCTGGGGGGTGGGATCAGGTCAGCCACATCTGAGACAGCTACAGGTTTCCTCACATCTTCCCGATTCTAATAACAATTTCCCTGAAGGAAAAGTTTTACCAAGAGGCTTAATCAAAGTTTGTAGCCAGCCTGCAGTCTGTTTCCTGGGAAATAGAAGGGCAAGCGGAAAGAGAGGCAGTTCTCCCGGCCAATCTGAACCCAGGGAGGGCCAATGATGCAGTCCTCCATTATGCTGGTGAGGGAGCAGAGGGAGGGACATTTCAGCGGCAGCCAACAGCCTGGGCAGCCATTTCCCTCCCACTGCTTGTGTTCTGTGGGGGAAGCCCTGGATCTTTGGAGACCCGAGATCTTGGGCTTCACAATGGACTCTCGCCTGGACTACAAATTGGTCTGATTCATTTTGATTAGTATCAGTAGCTAGCTTTTCTATTTCATATTTTTCCTTTATTTAAAAAAAAAATAGCCATCCAGAAACCTGTTATTTCCTCCACAGGAAACAATGCAGTGAAGGATGGCTGTGGGCACATTGTTCAGAGGGCCACAGCATCAGACCCCTTTGTCCAATTCCCTTGAAACTAGGGGGGGGGCTTTACTTGGGAGGGTTTCCTTGTTATGATTTTTATTAAAATGACGACTTTCTGATAAAGAATTAAAATGGTATTTCTTTGAAGCACAGACACATACCCACGGGTACGTAGCGTGGGTTCAGCACAGCAGGCAGGACAAAGCGGACGGCTCCATCAGGTTCTGGAGCTAATGCCTGGACGTAGCACACCTTCAGCACGGCCTCCCCATTGGGAGGAAGGTTTCCCAGGGTACAGGTGAAAATGTCACTGGTGTTTGTCTCCCTCTCAAGCAGGAAGGCTTGCCGTCCTTCGCTCAGGGCATCCTCGTATTCCTGCTGGGCCTGTGTTTGAATAGAGAGAAAAGGAGCAGTGGGTGAACTAAAAACTACCAGCCACTGACACAAAATAAAGTATGCTGTTATCTTGAGGAATGTGCCATCCATAGGAAAAGTTTTGAAAGAGGTTGCTCATCAGGTTTAATTTTGCTTGGGACAAGAAGATGTTCCACACTGTTTGAATACCTGAAATCAGGGCTACAAATACAATACCTTTATTGGCATAAAAAATCAGGGCTATTTTTGGGCAGGAACGCACAGGAACGGAGTTCCGGCTGGCTTCAGGGTTGGCCACGCCCACTACAGCCAAAACCTCTGCATGCGTGGCTACAGAAGGAAGGCCTGGAGAGCAACCCCCCGCTGGCGACTCTGAGGCGGGCAGGCCAGGGCCCCCCTGAAAGGATCGGGGAGGCATTTAAATGCCTCCCCGTGCCTTCCCTGGCCTGTCCAAGGGCCGGCTTGCCCGGGCTCCCTGCAGCCTGGGGTGCTCAGGCAAGTCAAGGGAAAGCATGGGGTGTGGCCTAATATGCTAATGAGCTGCACTGTCAGGGGTGTGGCCTAATAGGCTAATGATTTTCTGCTGTTGGGTGTGGCCTATTATGCTAATGAGTTCCTGAAATGTTTTGCTGAGCAGTAACTGAAGCCTTTTGGTAATATACATCAGTCAATATTGATGATGTAGTGGCTGGGACTCTGATGGGCTCTTTTTTTTGTCCAAGTGTAGAGGCATAAGATGTCCTCCAGCAATACGGTCAATTAATTCTGGCCTTTTAATCTTCTCCACGTTATTTTTAAAATCAGAAATACATTTCTTTTGTAATGCCTACCTTAATCTATTTTACATATTGATGTGTCCACATATATGTGTCTCATGACCCTGCTTTTTATACTTTTTGTTGTATTAGTATAAGCCACCTTCTCTCTCTCTCTCAGCTATTGCCATATTTATTTTATTTTTATTTTATTTATTGTTCGATTTATATCCCGCCCTCCCCAAAACGGGCTCAGGGCGGCTAACAATTAGGGCAAAAGCCAAGATTAAACAATTAAGGCACGAAGCCATGATTAAAACACTAAAAACAGCATAAAGCAATCCAATAATACGTAAAGTGCAGGTGCTCTAGTTGTCACTACAATCCTCTAGATGTCACTTGTGCCCTAGCATACATACAACATTAGCATACAAAGTTTCTACATGGGTGTTTTCAGTGTCCATATACCAATATAGTATCTGTTTCTTTCTTCAGTCTATTTTAGATACAGCTCCACCAACTTCCTGGTACTGTGTCTTATTTTTAACAGTACTAAAGATAATTTCCTTTATCATGACTTTATTGTACATCTCCATCACTTTAAAAAAAGTTCTGAAGAAAAATTTGATTTATATATAGATAAAAGTGTCTCCCTTCATTATTGTCTAATTACAAAGAAGAGTGTGGCTCAAACAACTCCACACTATGGAGCCAGGGACAGTTGAGAAAATTTTCTACATACTAGAAAAAAATTCCAGGTTCTCAGAAAAATCTGAAGCATTTTTATATATACACAAGGGGTCTCATTAACTGCATGAACTGAAATCTGCCTATTGTACACATGTATCATAAATATGTCCATTCTAAGCAAGCTCCCTTGTCCCAGGTGACATTTTAAGCCTTGTTTTAAAAATATTTATTTTGTTGCAAAGAGGCTACAGCTACAAGTTAGCTCAGGGACATTTCTCCTTCCTTGGCATTTTTCCCAGTTTTTCTTAACTGGCCTTTAAATCAAATGCTACAGGATCTTCACCCACTTTCATAATAAAGTATTCTGAAAATATACAAACAGGGCAGCAAAATATTGACATAAAGTCTGGATTGGGAAACCAATCTCACCCAACAGGAATCTCCAGTTCCTTCTGTAACTTGGCCCCCACATTACCAAAGACTCTGAGCCCCTTCACCTCTTTCTTCTCTCGGATCTGAGCCTCAATCCGTGTCCCACCAATCAGGCCCTCAAAAGCGTAGACGGCAGCTTCATCGTCCAGAGGGAAAACAAAGGTCACCTCCACGGGGTTCTTTTCCTCATTCTTGTACCGAAGCTCAGACACGACATCAGCCACGAAGCCTTGGACCACCACATCCACAGAGATGCTTTGCAAGGGCACTGGCACAAGGAAACAGGGAACAACTAAAGTCAACAGTGTCAACTCAAGACCTAGCCTGGGCCAGAGAAGGAGACCCCGAGCCCAGAGTTCAAAGCTAAGCAGCACACGGTGGGGGAACCACTCCTAAACAGCCAACAAAGTCAGCTCCACTTCCTTCATTCTAAGAGGGCCAGTTGGATTAGTACCAAAAGTTACTTGAAAAATATCAGCTCTATAACTGACCTGAGTTTTTAGTGCCAAGTAAAATGTTACCATTCTAAACTTACACACATATGTAGCTGAATAACCATATGCAGGTAATTTACCTGGCTCCTGAGAGGTCTTGATGAGGCCACAGGCTGTCATGTTTATGTGAGGATTTTGAGAGACGAGGCCAAAGTGCAGTGACACGGCTGGGCAAAAAAATAAATAAATTGATTTTCTCCTATTATTTTTGGTTACACAGATAGAAAGAGTTTGAAAGCCTGAATCTAGGAAAAGCTTCCTGCAATTCTGCTAATCCGCTAGACCCTCATACAGCTTTGTGTTCACATTTCCCTGTGACTGGAATTGGATCTTCTTCAAATTCTAAAGTCCCCAGCCAGCCCACTTCACCTAAAATTATTTCTCCAGCCTGGATAATAAGTCAATGCTACCTTTCCATGCAGCAACAGACACAAGCCCTGCCTAAAGGCTTACAACGGAAGAGGTGAAACACGCAAGGGAGGGGATTGGGGGAAGTCAGTCGTCTCCAGGACAAAGAGTAACCTTTCCTGCTCTTTCTCTTCTCATCTCTTGGGTAGTGCAAGGTTCCTCTTTCAGTACATCCCTCCTCTTTCCATTCTGCTGGGGGTTGGACTGCTACCACATCAGGAGGCTAAGGATGTGGCACCTGACAGAAACGCCTCTTTTGAGCTCTGACGCACAAAAACCAACCCTGGAATAAATGGTGTTAATCCCTAATGTGCCACTGGGCTTCTTTCTTATTTCCTTATCCCCAAGGTTTTTTTTGTTTTTGTTTTTTAAATTGACACACAGTTCAGTCCTAAAACCCATGTATGGTGAAGTTTTAAGAGGACCCGTGAGAATCTGTGTATAAAGCAGAGAATCCCTCCCTCAGCACCTCAACCAGCTGCAGGCTTGAAGATCAGAATTGCTGTCATTGACCTGCAGAACTGCCATCCCTTGTCTCCCCACCAGTATCTGTTTTTAGAAATTTAAGGGGACGTGGTATGTGGAGAGGAGAGGGATGGATATCCAGACTGGAGGGGGGGGGCAATTAACATATGCTAATAGTGCACCAGCCCTGACTTGGATAGCCCAGGCTCGCCTGATCTCATCAGATCTCAGAAGCTAAGCAGGGTCGGCCCTGGGCTAGTGTTTGGATGGGAGACCTCCAAGGAATACCAGGATCGTGATGTGGAGGCCGGCAGTGGCAAGCCACCTCTGAAGCTATTGCCTGGAAAACCCCATGGGGTCGCCATATGTCAGCTGACCTCTATGACAGTATACCCTGCTGATCTTTCAGTTCCTTCCCAAACCCCACTCTGCCCCCCCCCATCCAGGTATTTCCCCAGCAGGGCCGGCCACCCTAGGGCCTCTTAAATTGACAGCATGGTCATGGCATAACCTGGCCCTGGAGCAGATGGCACAATTTGCAGGATGCAACTGCGTGGCGCAATTCACCTGGATGATCCAAGATTCGCTTGGAGTAAAAAGATTTTTTTGCCCTGATCCCTAACGGGTTACAGTCTCAGGGTTAATTAAAACAATGTAATCGTAGGGTAAGAAAAAGATCACCTACCTCAAAACCTTCCGACACACGCCTTGTTCCTTTCTGCACTGGTACAGCTGAATCGAAAGCAGAACTTTCCGAGGAGTTCCCCTTCTTACCACACAGCCACCCTCTTGGCTGATCACCGTTCAGATTACCTTGTAAGGCTGAGTCTTCATTGTGCATCTTGGAAATGTCAGGCGCGCCTTTCCCGCCCCCGCAGAGCCGAGGCTGATTTTGCATTGGCTTTTCCCTCCGTTGTTTTACCAAACCAACAGTTGGAATAGAAATTCCCTCTGCATTGCACACTGCTTTCACTTCCTTTGATCGTCGGATTTTTATGGTAGCCTCCACATTCCATGCCAACTTTCACTTTCTTTGACCATCGGGCTTTATTGTACGTTCTGCATAGATTTATGGCCGTTCAGGGGTGACTTTGCAGTCAGTAGGACAGTGCCCTGAGGTATTTGAATGTGGTTTTGAGCTGCACTTTTCCCTCCCCAGTGCTAGATGCAGAATCGCCCACAGTTTCCTGTCGCCTCTGAAAGCTGCGCTAGAAGCCGTTTGTGTTTGTTTTCTACCAAAAAACAAGCAAACCCTACAAATGGGGGAGTTAATTAATCCCAATAGTTTTTTTCTGCATTAAGGGGGGGATGGATCTCAACAAAATTCCACCAAGGGGAAAGTGTTGGCAGACCCAAGACTAGAGAACCAGCCTCAAGTAGCTCTCTGGAGCCCAGTTTTGGTGCAAGGGAAACTCAGCACACCAGAAACACACACAGCGGACAGCCGTGCACTTCCCTCCAGAGGGTTTTTTTAAAAAAAACATACTGTGGCCCCGGTCACACGGGCCGGATATGAAAAACTCAGGGGGAAGGCCTAGAACATAAAGGGCAGAAGAGACCAGGTTATAGAGGCCTGGTCCAGAACAGAGAAAACTATTAGAACATCTACCTTGATTCTCTTTGTTAAGGGCCAAGGAATGGGAACAGGTGTGTGTGAGTAGAATATGGTTATTCTTTTGATTTCAATTTTTTTGGCACAAATCAAAGTAGTAAAGAGTAGGTCTCTTTAATGACCTTCGAAGTTAACTTCTCTGGAAGCATTATTTAAGACAAATATCCCCCTCCCAGTGGTGTTGTAGAAACCCTTGATGCCATCCGGCCCAGAGGGAAGGTGGATCACTGTCAGCTGACTGCCAAGTGATTTAGATATCTGTTTTTGTTGCAGCCTTGGAGTTCATAGATTCCCTTGAAGGGGCTCTTCAGGCCCCTCCACTCTACTCTCCTACCACCAAAGCAGGAGTCAGATGGACTTAGCAATTCAGAAGCAGTGTAGCCTGAAGCTAATTCTACCATAGAATTTTGCCTACAAACCAGAGTGTCACCCCCAACATGCCAACATCACTTTCAGGTGGCATAGGCACATCACATTTATTTCCTGCTTCTTCATCCTTCCCTCCCAGTTAGTGCACCCCCATCCCACCTGGAGGATGACCTCCATGGCATTGTATCCCAATGAGATCCCTTCCTCCCCAGGCTCTACCCCCAATCTCCAGGAGTTTCCCTACCTGGATCTGGCAACCCTATCCCCTCGTCCCCCGCCAGTGGCTAGGGGGTCCCTAACAAGCCTACGTGAGTCTTCTAATCAGATTTTGCCAAAGCCACAAGAAGAGCCCTGCTGGACTGGACCAGAAAAATCATTCCAGTTTGCATAGGGTTGCCAACCTCCAGGTGGGGACTGGATATCTCCTGGAATTGAACATGATCTCCAAACTACATACATTTTCTTTCTTTACTTAAAATAGTTATTCTACTTCTCCTGGAGAAAATGGCTGCTTCAGAGGCTGAACTGTATAGCATTATACCCATCTGAGGCCCCTCCCCTTCCTCACCCCCCCTCTTCACTATTAAATCTCCAGGTACTTCCAAACCCGGGGTTGGCAATGCTATCAGATACTGGCTCTGAAGACAGAGGCTTTCATTTAGCTGTTGCTTACAGCCCTATCGATGGATTCATCTCAACTCTTTTTACAAGCGAGCTATCACCACTGCGTCTTGTGGCGAGGAACTCCACATGTTAATTCATTGTGTGGAGAAGAACTTTTTGCCCCGAACCAACCAGGGATACTCAAGTACCCGAGTTACTTTTCTTTTCAGATTAAATTTCTGATTAACGGAGGAACCTACCAATGAGAAGATGAACCAAATAGGCATACCCCTAAATAGGAGAGGGGGTTAAATAGTTTACTCTCCCTGCACTGTTCACAGTTTTTATACGCGTCTGCCACCTTCTTGCCCAGTCTGTTCTGTCAGCCCCTGCTCCCATTTAAAGATGATACTGTTGATACATTAGGGTTGCCAACCTCCAGGTCGGACCCAGAGAATCCCCAGAATTACAGCTGATTTCCAGATGACAGAGATCAGATCCCTTGGAGAAAATGGCTGCTTTGGAGGGTGGGAACTATGGCACTGTACCTCCCTGAGGTCCCTCCCCTCCTTATATCCCACTCTCCCTAGGCTCTGGCCCCCAAAATCTCCAGGTAGTTTGCAGCCCCGGGTTGACAGCCCCATGATGTACTGATGTGAAGAACTTTGAACACCTGAAACATGTCTCTTTGCATGTTTGAAATTTTGAGTATTTTATCCCATTTTCCCTTAAAATCAGCAAAGTGGCCAGCAACACAGAATTTATATCAGTGAAAGTCGAAACCAGGTCAATAACACCAGCTTTGTAATGCTAAAGGATTCTGTGTTTAAGACTGTGACTGGTTGCCCGTCTGTAAATGGTGTTATATGAATGAACTGTTGTGAAATTCTTATAGAGAAGACTGAACACAAGAATTTCCATAAAGACTTTAATATAGTCCCATAGATACAGAACACTACAAATGAGCATGTACATATCTTTCTCTCTGAAGAAGATATTTGAAACGAAGTGCATACCCAGAATCTTTGTTATTGTATAATACCTACCAGATTGCACATTGTATATTCCTTGTCAGTGATTGTATATCACTTTGTTTGCATTATATTGCCACACAAGTCATTTAAAACTGGCATTAGGATATTTTAAATAAACGCTTAACATTTATTTATGCAGCTATTCCACTCTAGAAATGAAAAATCTTCTGTTTCCAAAGCTGATTTATATGAATATAGATTTTTGTAAGCATTTATGGCTTCTACTGGAGCTGCGGTGGCTCAAGTGGTTAAGATGCTGAACTGCAGGCTGTGGAAGGTCAGTAGTTCAGCAGTTTGAGACCTGAGTTGCCGCATGACGGAGTGAGCTCCCGTCTCTCGTTCCAGCTCCTGCCAACCTAGCAGTTCAAAAGCAAGAATAACCACACCAACTGTGATGGTTTTGCATAAGAAGCCACAGGAATGGAAATTATCTAACATTTCCAGGGAACACATTGTCTTGGACCACAGAATAAACTTTCTTTCAACTCATTCTCTTTACCATCTTCTCCCTGTTGTTCAGTGTAGGTCTCAGGACAATGATGAAGCACTTTGGGGAAAAAATGCACCCCAGTAAACCAGCACTGGAGGCCAAGATGGAGAAGATTTCTACAGCTACCATGTATTTTCCCTTGGTGCTTAGGTAGGTAGGAACAAAGCACAACCAAACACTGCAAAACACCAACATACTAAAGGTGATAAATTTGGCTTCATTGAACTTGTCAGGTAACTTCCGGGCTAGGTATGCCACAGCGAAGCTGACAATGGCCAGGAAGACAAGATAGCCCAAGACACAGTAAAACATGGTAGGTGAGCCCTCATTACATTGCAGTATAATAGTTGTAGTGAGTATGGATGTGTCCCTATAAGGGAATGGAGGAAATGTACTTAACCAAAAGATGCAGATAATTGTTTGGATAAAGGGGCATAAGAGGACAATAAAATTTGCCATTCTTTTCCCTACCCATTTCCTCATCATGGATCCTGGTATGGTAGCCATGAATGCCAGCACAACAGTGATGGTTTTGGCCAAGACACCGGAAAGGGCCACAGAAAAGATAACACCAAAAGCTGTTTGTCGGAGAAGGCAGGTCACTTTTCCAGGCTGCCCAATGAAGAGCAGGGAACAGAGGAAGCAAAGAAGGAGGGAGATAAGGAGAATGTAGGAGAGATTCCGGTTGTTGGCTTTGACTATGGGCGTGTCCTGGTACTTTAGAAAGGTTCCAAGCACCAATGCTGTGATCAGAGAGAAAGAAATAACCAACACAACTAAGGTGATTCCTAATGGTTCTTTATAAGAGAGGTAGCTTATAACCCTGGGAATGCATTCATTCTGATCTTTGTTGGGATAGCTGTCTTCTAGACACGTGACACAGGAATCCATGTCTGGAAAAAAAGAAGAGTTTAAATAGTTCTAAGAATTGTTTTAGTTGTGACTGTTGATAAATTATGTACTGTTAATGAGCACAGATTCTCATAGATCAATAACAAGAGGTTGATCTGTGTCTTCTGGAATTTAAAATCTAAAATGTAATACAAGGGAGAGCACATTAGGCAGGAAAAGAGGACTCATGGGAAAATAGGGGAAGAACAACTTTTGTATTCAGTTACCAGTGTGGGGAGTAAGACTGTACAAAGCTTCCCAGAAAAGGTGGGTTTGAGGTGGTCTTTAGCAGAGTCAAGATGGCATCATGCTTGTCTTCTAATAGCAATTGCTTTTTTTTTTTAATTTCCTACGCTTTGAAACGAGTTTGTGGACAGTAATGATGCCATAGATCAATAACAAGATGGTGATCTGTGTCTTCTGGAATTTACAATCTAAAATGTAATACAAGGGAGACCACATTAGGCAGGAAAAGAGGACTCATGGGAAAATAGGGGAAGAACAACTTTTGTATTCAGTTACCAGTGTGGGGAGTAAGACTCTACAAAGCTTCCCAGAAAAGGTGGTTTTGAGGTGGTCTTTAGCAGAGTCAAGATGGCATCATGCTTGTCTTCTAATAGCAATTGCTTTTTTTTTAAACTTCCTATGCTTTGAAAAGAGTTTGTGGACAGTAATGATGTATACCTGGTCGTGATTTGGCCAGAACAATAGCACTTTCTATTCTCTTCCATTGTCAGAACTGTGTATAGATAGATTCACACACACACACATCCATGACCCTAATGATTTTAAACATTGGGAATGCTCTTGATGTGCCAGATATCATACAGTAACAGCAAATAACAGAACTGTACACTTTGAAGTTATGCTGGAAAAAGGAGGCACAAATACCTCCAGATTTCCATATTTACAGATTAAAAGCTGTCTTGTGATACAACTAAGAAGAGGAATATTCTTGAGAGTATTAATAAAAGTGGACAAGCTAGCTGTACAAAGGAAAGCAAAGCATTTTCAGGATTTATCATAGGGTGACATATTCAGCACACACATCCATGACCCTAATGACTTTAAACATTGGGAACGCTCTTGGTGTGCCAGATGTCATACAGTAACAGAAAATAACAGAACTGTACACTTTGAAGTTAAGCTGGAAAAAGGAGGCACAATTATCTCCAGATTTCCATATTTACAGATTAAAAGCTGTCTTGTGATACAACTAAGAAGAGGAAGATTCTTGAGAGTATTAATAAAAGTGGACAAGCTAGCTGTACAAAGGAAAGCAAAGCATTTTCAGGATTTATCATAGGGTGACATATTCAGTTTGTCAGAAAGAAAAAGCCTATTAAAAAAGTGGCAGACCAACAGGTCCACAAGTAAATCTGGTTTTATGGGGTCATTTGTTTATAACAGGATCAGGATCAGCCTTTTCAGTGAATGTCTGTTTGAGAGAAAACATAATTAAAATGACATTAAAATCAGTCATGCTACTTTTTTCATATGTCATGGGAGTGTTTGCGAACTGTAAAATATTGGAAAGTAATCGTAGATGAGGATTATTGACACTGAAGGTCGCATTGGTTTATAGGCAAGTGATGTTAGCAATATTAAATCTTTTTCCTGCAGTTAGATGTTGATGTCCCTGCATCTCCAATATAATGTGATCATAGTTGTCCTCATGTGTGTCTGTATTTATCAAAAGATAAACATGTAGAATCTTGAAGTACTCATAGATCAAAATCACTAAAGGTGTAGAGTTCCAGTAACTTGTCTGAATCTTGCAATGTTTGGAGTGTAGAATCAAAATGAAAGTGTTTTGCCATAATCGGATCTTCTAAGATCAGCAATGAGATTCACTATTTTTGGGAATCTTATTAAGGCAGGTATAAAGTACTGAAACTGATGCATGGAGGAGTGATTTCAGCTCATACTATTAGTTAAATGGAGAACTTGAGATAACTTTCGAGACCCCTGGCCCGCTTATATTCCCATTCAAACCACACCCAACACACACATATCCATTCCTGTGATAGGCTATATACAATACTACTTTCCCTCATTGGTTCCCTTTAGGATCCGGACTGGCCAATTGGCGAGTACTAGGATCCTCTGCTTCTATTGTTGTCGGATGTGAAGCTCAGCTTGTCCACTCAGCCATGTGTGAGCTCGACCGCGTGTGCAGTCTTGCTTGGTACACAACAGCAGGAGGTGGATGAATAGATGAGTGCTGTTCTCATTCTCACCAAAGCACAGATTGTACAAACAGTATTTACAAAAGCTTTGTTGAGGAAGGTCATTCATAGATATTTTCATCTGCAGAAAGGTCAAGGTGAATCCAGTTAGATCTTGGATCACTGGTTGCTCATTCATGGTGTTGAAGGCACAGCTAAAATTGCTGGTTTAAAAGATGGCCACCGAGTTTATTCAGTAGCAATAAGCAGTTGATGATTCAAGCCCTGAATACGTTAACTTTCTGCTTCCAGCATATCTAACCATAAAAAACCAACGAAAACAACAACAACCACAAAAAACAAATAGGCCAGACTTTTTTTTTTTTAGTTCAAATGGCAACCCTACAATACATCATATCACCTACCTTTGTATTCTGAAACCATTCCTTCTGGACATGAAGCACAATTGTAACAGCAAAATTTCTTGCCCTCTATTTTCTGCTTGCTGGAACCGGGATGGCAGGGGTCATTGCACACAGAAAGGGGCAATGCCTATTTATAAACAAAGAGGAGACAGAGGACCAGGATCAAATCAGCGTAAAATAGGAATGAATGTTATAGAAAAGTAGAATATTAATACAGAATCTTGTACAACAGAAGAAGTTGTTAGCATTTTCTTGTGTGATTTTAATCAAAAAATAAGACACATCTGTGATGAACTATATGGAGACTAGGATCGGGATTACAACTCAGAGGGAAAATATCTGCTTTGCATGCAGGAAGACTGAGGCTGTGGTCACACTGGCAAGGTAATTGCGCTTTGTTCCTGCTTTAATTTAATCGGAAACATTTTTCTTCGGGTTGGGCTGATTAGATGCAGCTGGACTTTCTCTTCCACCACCCGCTCGCCTGTCAGCTCTAAGGAAAATCCTTCCCCTGCTTGCCTCCAGCAAGCCACCTCTTGCTGCCCGACCAGCCGAGAGGACTGTTGTGCTCAGCTTGCCTCGGGGCTGCGGCGGAGCCTCCACCGCACTGAGTCTCTCCAGGCGATCCTGCTGGCCACGAGGCAGGTTCGGGCGGTTGCTACTCCTGCTGCCGCTGTGGGGGGTGGTGCCAGTTGCCTGCTGCTGCCCACTCGCCTGCAAGCCCGAAAGCCGGCCCGGCACTTCCCCCCCTCCTGCTGCCTGCCGCAGCTTCACTCCCCACCCTGAGTTTCAGTACCCAAGCTGGCCATTAAAAATAATGCTGTAGTAAATTATGTGGAAGAAGTCCAGCCATGAGATTCTGGGAAGTCAACTACCAGTGAGAGTAGACAATACTGACCCTGATAGACCAGTGGCCTGACAGTATGAAGCAGCTTCATGTGTTCAAGGATTACCTTGATAAAGGCTTGTTGTCCTCATGCCCAGAATCCATAGATGTTTAATTAGATTCCAGAGTATCTGACACATTCATAAATTAATTAGACAGTATTACCTTTTGCCAAAACTAAAGCAGAAATTTACTAAGGCATCCAGAAAGGTTAACATCAGATCAAATGACCAAATCTGGCCATAACCGAAAAAGAGAAAATTATGATGGCAAGACATTCTTGGTGAGATGACGTTGTCTGATTTCCTGTGAAGAATATTCTTATAAAGAAGGTTTCAAAAGGTTTTCCTCCTTCTTCAAAAGGGAAATAACTGTGCTTGAAAGGATTTCAAGTTATCCAGCCCCATTTAACACTTGAAGTCTAGCAGAAAGAACACTGGAATAACTAAAACTGAAGTTCTTATTTTTAATAGACTGAAGCATCTTTTTCTACATCGCACCTGGTTAAAGTTTCCGTGCCACACAATCTGATCATCATTGAGGGTCAGCTCTTTGCCTGGAGGAGCCTGAGGATCCAACCTTCCTACTTTTACTCTTGCAAAAGAACTGTTTGGGAATGTTACCCAGTTTGTCACATCAAAACCCGCAATTAATTCGCCATTGTCATCAAAATGCACAGTGTCCCCTGCACTGTTGTTGAATGAGATTATCCTTAGAAAGTGATGGAGCTGGTGTATAAGAGAAAATGAAAGTGTAGAACTCTTTTACCATGAATTTTACAACAATTTGGCTTAACTAGTTCTAGATTATGAACACATAAAAAACCCATTCACCTTGGTCAAAAAGCCGAGCATTTTGACTTAACCAAACGCATTGTCAAAAATTGGTGGTGGAAAGTATCATCAAGCTGCAGGGGAATCATGGTGACCCCATAGGATTTTCAAGCTAAGAAATGTTGAGAGGTGGTTTGCTGTTGCCTACTTCTGCATAGAGGCCCTGGACTTCTTTGGTAGTCTCCCAGCCTAAGATTTCTACAGCCTAAGATTTCTACAGCCTAAGATTGCTACAAGCATGGACGGCTTCAAAAAGGAATTAGATAGGCATATGGAGCAGAGGTCCATCAGTGGCTATTAGCCACAAGGTATAGATAGGGGCTCTGGGGCAAGTGATGATCTGTCTTCTTGGTGCTTGGGGGGGGCAACAGTGGGAGGGCTTCTAATGTCCTGGCCTCACTGGTGGACCTCCTGATGGCACCTGGTATTTTTGGCCACTGTGTGACGGAGTGTTGGACTAGATGGGCCTTTGGCCTGATCCAACATTGGCATCTCTTATGTTCTTATGTTAAGAGTAACTAGGGCTGCCCCTGCTTAGCTTCCAAGATCTGGTGAGATTGGGCTAGCCAGAGTTACTCAGGTGCTCCCCCCCAAAATTATTCTCCACTGTTTTGATAGCATTTTTAATGCAGGCATACTATTTATGTATATGTGTGAGAGAGGCCATGAGCTATCAGACTCTGAGTCCCTCTGTGAATGATGCCAGCCTACTTTTCATATACAAAGACATATCTCGGCTGTAATTACCTGCCAGGGCTGCACATTCTGCAATTCCAACCTTTGTCCTTCTCCCAGAGTTCTTGATTTTTCTCTCAATCTGTAAATGGCATGCAAAGAACGTGCCACAGCATGAGCAGCATTGTAGATGTTGTAGCTCTGGCCAGTCATGCGCATTTCAAACAAAATGCCAGGAAGGTTCTCCAGCTTCTCCTCTCCAGTGCAGGGTTCTTTGCTCTCCTCATGTTTTAAGGAACAGTCAAATGCCTGCTCCCAGAACTCTTGGATAAAACCATCCCTTTTTGCCCAGGAAGGTTTTATGATCTGAAGGAATTTTTGGAAGCCTGGTGGCTGATTAGAATGAATTGTAAAGGAAATGGCACCATGGTAGATTTGTGTATCCCAGATCTTTTGAAGGGATACTGACTGAAAAGTCCATTGAGAGGTAGTAATCCACACTTTACCAAGAGGAAGGGATGAATATTGTTCTGCTATGAACAATGATATTCTCAAGGTGTGCATTAATGTAGGTTGTCCATATGCAAAATATACATTCGCTTTGCTATCCACAAGAACTCGATGTTTCCCCCATATTTCAGAAAATCGCTGTAGCAAATTATCCATATCAGTCCGTTTCGGGGTTCTCAGTGTGAAATCATAGCAGATTCTATTCTGGGAAAGTAGGGGTATCACTGTCTGCAAAAACGTGTCCCCATTGTCATCATCCACAGCGAAGAGTCCAATCCATGTCCAGTTAAAGTGATGAAGTAACTGGACAATACCCATGTACTGAAAGGGGTCATTTGGGACCATCTTGTACATGTAAGGAAACAGTGTTTTGTCACCCTGCACTGATGAAAATGATCCGTACGTGAACTGAAATAAAACATATAGGCATTTTTCATGCAAGCTCAAATACATTATTAAACTATATGCATCAGTATTGAAATCTCCACATTCTCATGCCTTTGGGTTACCTGTGGCATCTTGTAGCTGGCTAAGATGGTAGCCATATGGGCAGAAGTTTCAGAGATACGGGCTCCAATGACAGATATAAGAGTATTCTGGGTATCACATTTAAAATTGGGGACAAACTTGTGCCGTGTGGAAATCAGATCTAGGGTGGCCTTATAGGTTGTACTTCCAAGATCATAACCATTGAGGAGAATGTGGAAACCCAAAGTGATATTTGGTAGGATTTGGTGATTCTCGTTGACCTCTTTTACAGCAAATGCCAAAGCCAAAACATTCTGGTAGTTCTTTGGAAATGAACTGCAATGAGAAGTATAGTCTACTTAAGCAAAAGAAGTGAACATACATTTGTACCATTTCTTAGAAGACTAGTGGATATCTTTTTTTCTTGATGCTGCAAGAAACCCCTTCACTTTCTTATTTCTGCACATCAAATAGCAGTTAGTGTGTCAAAATCATGATCAAATGTGTAGTTAAGTGCAATAGCAGTCATTCACAACGGAACTTTCCTATGCAGTCAAGAGACTCCAGTTGTGAAAAATTACTATAATACAATGATCCCTCCACATTCAATGATGTGCTGAAGGAGAACAAGGCTGCAGCTGCAGCTTTACTACTGAAAGTTAATCAAGTGTTGCCAGAGGGCTCTATTACTTTAAGACCAGTTCTCTGTTATTAGGATCTGAACATGTTACAGAAAGAAGCAAAACAATTCCTTACTGTTTATCAGCAAACTTCAGTGCGGGCTGCCCGTCGAAAGAGAGAGGGTTTTGAAGCAAGAAGATGTGACTGACCATCTCACCAATGATAAAGTCACTGGGCTGATAAAATCCATGAGAAATAGGAAGGGGGTCATCGTAGACAGTACAATTAGTAGATAGTTTCTTGCATACAATATGAAACTGCACTACAAGCAGCAACACCAGTATCAGCACCACCCAGTTAATGGATTTTGCCATTAAGACGCACATCTTCTGAATTCCATCTGCAGGATTATCTGAGCAGTGCCATTTTTACAGCCTCCCTTGAATGGCAGATGAATGTGTTGTTGATTTATTACTTATAAGGGTGTCTCTCTGCACCTCTGTCTTATAGTTACCAGTCGTTTCTCTTATTATCTCTTATCTCTCATGCAGATAACTTCAGAGTGGTAGCCTCATGAATCTGCTGCAGGAAAAATAATCAGGTTCCACAAGACTCCTGTTTTGTCTTGTCCCTCTTGACCACTGGAAAGCTTATTCCTTGCTGGAAAGCTTATTCCTTACTTTCTCATCTGAGGATGAATGGAATCTTTTTTAGAGTCCCTACATAGGTTTATTTTAAAACACAACCATGCAGGTAGAAAGTCCATACTGTTTGCCTTACATTAAAAAAAAAAAAACACCATGGAAATTCTCAGACTTTTTTAAAAAAACAGTGTTGATTAGCAATTAGACTAGCAGCAGTTGAGGACTCAAGTTCATGGCCAACTAGAAGAGTCTTATATACATATTTACTTATATATTAAATAATTCCTACATTATGAGATATGGTTGTTCTCATTATGAAGTCTAGGTAGCTTAATTTTGGAAGAGAGAAGAGACCTGGTAAGAGCTATTTAAGCTATGTTCTTATTCTTTAAAATTATGGAAAAATAAGTATGATGGAAATCCAGCCTAAATTATAAAGGGGACATGGATACACAAAAGATGTATAGATTCGTACATATCCTTAGTTTGCTCTGAACATTATTCAGGGTTTTCATAGCATCTTTCAAGCATGGTTGTTGTTGGACTGATTAATATCATGTGAAAATCTAATGGGGAATAAAAAAGAAAGCATTAATTTTGGCAAATGATAGTGGAGATAATCACATCCCAGTGGGTTGGCCTCTGCTGTTCCAAAGTTACTGTAAAGTTTATTCCCCTGAAATCCCATCAAAAATATATTTTTCCCTTTGAAAAATATGTGAACAAAGTAGCACATATTTGGCTATGGATTGATTGGTATTCTAAAGGTACACCTCAACGAGCCATTCAACATACCAAAATTGTATCTTGTGTTGTATTTTTTGTCTGAAGTCTGTTTACATTATGGGGTGTTGTAAGGATATGAGAATAACTTGATTATTCTCGATTAATTTAAATTAATTCAAACATCAGAGATCCGGTTCCGGTGCGGCGCTGCGACGGGCGGTTTTTCAGGAGTTCACATGGGCCAGATGTTTTGAATCCCTTTGTTTTGGGCACAGCAGCTCCCACCCTCATTGTGAAGCTAGTGGCCAATTTTGAGGCTCCT